AAGATATAATTCATATATAATTTAGCATCTGTGTGTTTATAAAATCACCAAAACTGTTGAATTAGTTTGCTCGTCATAACAAAATTATGTGTAACTAATATTAACTTATAAATATAAACGTAGAGACATTGATTTTAATCCCAAACATATCATGAACTAATCAATTTTCACAAGAACTTAGTGGCCTAAATTTATATTAAAATTATATTATTTTGTTATTCATAACAAAATTACATAAATAAAAGTTCAAACCAAATTTAGAGAAAAAGATAGGTGAATTAACTTGGGTTATAAATCAATAATTGATAAATTTATTGAACATATTAAAGCTATATTGTTATTAATTTTTTCGGTGCACACATCAACCGATTTGAATAATTCCAATGACATTCAATTCCTACTGATGGAGGGACGTGCTGATTAGTTTTTGACAAAGACTACGGAGTAAAGAGTGCAGAAAATAGAAATCGAGATTTTGAGAGCAAGAAAGAACCGATTGGTGATTCAGAAAACATTCTATTAATAATGATGGGGTTACATTGTGATTAGTTTTTTTTGCAAAGACACGTATATCCGTTTTGAAGAAATGAAGCTAAGTATGCAAAAGCAGGCATTTTTTGAGAAACCTTTACTTGTATTGACAGAAATATTGTTTTTAGGAGTAGAAATTTTATTTTTATTTCACTTTTATTTAATTTTAATTCTAGCTATAATTTTAAAGCTTACTTATATACTAGAAAGAAATAATTTTAATCTTCCAAATATGAGACAAGATCCTTTATTCTAATTTATTAAGTTCTATTAATTTACTTTTCAAAACTTATATAAACGTCTTTATCCAATTTATAAGCTTTTATACTTTGTCAATAAAATACGAATATAAAAGTTACAGTATTTATAATAATATATTTGAAAACATTTGATATTCTTGGAATATTTCATGACGGTACGAAAAGTTCCAGCAATTTGCCTGAAGGCACGATGCCATACACCACTAGTTATGTTAAATTTTACCATTTATTTATAATTTTCAAATATTTTTGTTATAAAATTGACATTCCTACATTAGGTGAACACCCCATGTCTGCATGTTCAAATCTCCAGGGCGATTCTACGACAGACAACCGTGTCGGTAGCTAATTTGCATTCGCAATGTTGTTTCACATATATTTTTACTGTTCTTCAATGATGAAGTGTCTTATAGATATCCCTTTGTTCCAGCCAAAAGAGAATTTATTTTGACATTTTCAACGAGTTTTTCATGAATATCCGAAAAAATCGAATTCCATGTTTTATTGTAATTTTATTTCGATGCAAGAAGTGAAATTTATTATATATTCTGTTTTCGAATGTGTTGCTTGATAATATTGTAACAGATTTATTTTAAATAGATTTACTATTCATCCGCAAATTTAATTTGACCATGCTGATGTAAGGGCAATAAGATTTATTTTTGAATATACCCCTGCCATTCTTTCAATATAATTAAATAAAAATAAAATTATATATATATATATATATATTATAATATAATATATATATATATATATATATATATATATATATATATATTTTGTATGATTCTGAATTTGATGTTGACATATGTATTAACAAAGTCTAATAATCGGGCATAACATCAATAAAAAACATTGTTTTTTATGATGTTATGCCCGATTATTAGACTTTGTTAATATATATATATATATATATATATATATATATATATGAGGGTTTTATATGTATATAAAATGTCCACCACTAATATCTTAAACACAAGTAAAGATTGTAACAAATGTTAACAACAATATTTGAAAGTAGAGGGTAAAAGATTTGTAATATTAATCAGCCTTTTACTTGAATCAAGAAACGATGCTATCAGCAGATAAACAAACCTGTTTGAAAATCTATAACAAAGTACTTTCTTTGGTTGTTAGAATTTAATTGTGAGCACTGTTATTTAGTTTACGAGACCTTTATTTAGTTTTTATGTATACATTATTTAAATGTTTTATAAGTTATATTGTTAATAATATAGTTAATTAATTAGTTAATAGTATAGTTACTAGTTATGTTGTATTGTTGATTTTAAGTTAGATTCAATAGTCACTTTTAACATATGGGTGAGTAAAAAGGACCAACTGAACCTTTACCCTGAAAAAAGCGTTAACAATGAAAAATTATAAATAAAGCTAAAATGCAATTTTACAAAAGATAAGTTAAATAAATTGTTTTTCTAACTCTGCTGATATCTCTGACAAAATATCAGATCAAGGTTATATACAGTGTTATCTCTGTAAAAACTGTACCCAAAAAATTTATATTTTGCATGAGTTGAATGCTATTATTTTGTAAAATTGGAACTTTGTGCCCCTATATATATATATATATATATATATATATAAATATATTATCAAATTAAACTAGTTTGGGCTTCGTTCTCAACCTTGACCAACTCGATATCAAACAGTATTATATTAAATTGAAACTTGAGGTCGTAAAGCTCAAATATAATCACAATTGCAAGTCGCCTTTCATGAATTGAAAATAAAATTACGTCAAATTTCAAATTACAATACATGTAAAATTTCGTTTACGTTAGATTATTGATTTAAATATTTATTTTTATACTTTTATTTTGCAATAAATTCGTTTTATCATGAATGCATTGACGAAGAAAATTAAAATATTAATTGAAAAGTTTGAAAATCAACTTCATCTACCTTATTTCTAAAACACAAATTGTAATTTATTTAAATAAAAATAAAAGTTTACAAATGACATAATTTTTTATATTGTTTTTTTTTTGTTGTAATAATAATAAAATTGAAAACATTCTGTTCGATCTCACTTCATTTCAACTAAACTAAATTTTAACTCAATACTCCTTATTCCAATATAATTAAATCCGGATTAATTACAGGTAAAGGTTAAAACTGTTTACTATGGTAACATCTTCAACGCAAGAGAAACTTTTGATTAAAAAGCATTAGATAATTTTGGTAAATTGAAAAAAAATTCTCAAAACATACCATAAGAATATATAATATAGTTCATAAAATAAAGTTCTAATTGAGAAAAATAACACCATTGGTATCCGGAAGAAAATATAAGTCACATTGTATTGAATATCGTTGACATCGAGAAAAAATATTTGAGATGTCAATATATGTTGATCAATATTAAATAAAATATTATTATTGTTATGAAAAATACTGCTTTCAACAAGATATTAAGGTTGTTTGTCAAGATAACGATACGAATTTAATAAAATTTATATTTTTAATTATAATATAAGATTACCTCTCCATTTTCTGGTGGATCTCCATTGCCAAATGTTGAACTTACAACTAGTAATAATCCTTCGTGTTCAATCGATGTTATATCATACTCATCCATACGAACTACCTGCAAGAATATAGTAATTATTTAAATTATTTAAGACAAATTTGAAATTTTAAAATTCTCAATTATTGCAATAATTAATTCAATCACAAATATGAAAAAATATCTTGCTTATTCTTATTATGATTAAAGACATACATAAGAAATTATTTCATAACGCACAAGTAACATTAAGTATAAAATCATGATATATGAATATATATCATCTATTAGCATAAATGTTTTCATAAGTAATGTAATACAGAATGCAATCAACAGATGCATTATTATAGTTATAGTTTTAAATTGTAATAAAGTATTCCCAACAAGTTCTCGAACTTAATTATCTGGATTTCTCGATGTAATGAAATGTGATTCATTTATTACCAAAGTTGGAAATTACTTCGTTATACAAAATAATTTACTTCAATTTGAAAAGTTTAGAAATGCACATGTTTCTGCGTGCGACTAACTTATATATTTTCAATATGTAACATATTAATAGTTGGTAACGAACTACAGTAAAGCTTATATATTTTATTACATACACATACACGCAAATATATATAATATATATGTTTAATTTGAGTTTAATATTCGGGCGTAACATCAATAAAATATTTTTATTGATGTTACGCCCGAATATTAAACTCAAATTAAACATATATATCAACATCAAATTCAAGACAATTCAAAAATAAATATATATATATATATATATATATATATGTATATATATTATATATATATATAAACCAACGCAGTAAACAGAAGTGTGCAGGTGCCTCATTATTGACAAGTAACATAAAATTGTACTATCACAAAATTTCGGTTTGCGTTATTGTTATCGACTAATTTTAAATATGATATATCTAAATTCTTTCCAATTTATCCAACTTGGACGTGTTACAATTTTTGCGAAAGCTAATTGTTTAGTTATCTTAATTTATTTAAAAAAAAAATCACATTTGGGGTTAGTTGAAACAAAACCCTGGGGCTAGTTGCAACATACAAGAATTATATATACGTGGTGTGTTCAAAAAGTACCCGGAATTACTAATAATTAAATTTCGCGGGTCTGGAGTGTCTGATTGTCAAAATTTTTTTTTTATTGTGTTGGTATACATGCCCCTAAAGTATGATGAAATTTTCAGCTATATTCACTGTTTACTTTGTCTGTGGTAGTCGCTAAGGTTCGACGTGTTTTTCTGAGCTCGGCGATTTTTACAATGGAGAATTGAAAAGTCAAAGAATTTGTATTAAATTTTGCGTAAAAAATGAAATAAAGTGTTGCAAAGTGCAAAAATTCACCAGATATGGCTCCGTGTGACTTTTTCCTATTCCCAAAGTTGAAGAGACCCATGAAAGGACGGCGGTTTTCCTCGATTGAAGAAAATCGCTGAGAGTGCTCAAGGACATATCAAAAAGTGAATATCAAGGGTGCTTCGAAAATTGGAAAAAACGCTGGCATAAGTGTATTATATCTGGGGGGGACTACTTTGAAGGGGACCACATTAATGTAGACGAATAAATAAATATTTTTTTGAAAAAACGAAAATTCCGGGTACTTTTTGAACAGACCTCGTAGATTTAAGTGAAACAGTTTCAAAGGAATGATGTGGGCACATGTAAATTGTGTTGCAAGAGGTCTGTGTCTCTTATTTGTATTATGATATTAATTGTAGTTTACATAGATTTATGATAAAATTTATGTTACAGGAGACGTTATATATTTTATTTGACCAATTATGTTGTCAAATAACTATCTGACTATGTTCAGTAAAAATCCCAGCAAATGCATCATTCGAAAAATGTGTTTTTTGCTGTTTTTTAAAAATTTGTAATCTTTTTATCCTATAGGCAGAGTAAATTTAAACGGCCAGGGAGCAAATAGGTCCAATGTTTAATTTTAAAAGGTTTTTACAAACCAATAGGGACGCATTTTTTACAGAGCTAACACTGTAATTAACTTTGATCTAGTATTTCGTCAGAGACATTCAGAGTTGGACTAACTTAATTATTTTACCTCAATTTACTTCTTATTTTTTACAATTTTGCAAAGGTGAAGGCTTTGTTGCTCCCTTTCACCTCACCCAGGTGTAAACTTTCATAGAGATTGTCGAATTAACGACGAAAAAAAAACTGTCGAATCTAACTTAAAATTAACGATAGATCTTATAACACAATAAAATAAGGTTACATAAACACTTAAAACCTTACCGTTATATAAAAAATTAGGGCTTCATAAACTAAATAACAGTGCTCATAATCAAAACAAATAAAAACGCAAGAAAATATCTTTGTCATGGATTTTTAAACATTACCGTTTTATCCCAATAGCAACGTCATAAGATTAAAGGTGGTATCTGGCTTTACATCTTTTACCCCTACTTTCAAATCCTGTTGTTAAAAAACTCTAAACTTTACTGGTTTTGGAGATATCGGTGGTGGACCTTTTTACCTGCGGACCTTTAAGCTCCGTTTTAACCTACTTAAAAACAAGGTAATTTAAACGAGTAAAAAATAAATTATCAGATGCATTATTGTATGTTTTTTGTCGTTACTACTTGACCCGGTGGGTGTAACAACTAGCCCCAAACACGAGGTAAGCTGTAACACCGCACATTTTCTGGAAATTGATTAAATGTGAAATAATAAACAAAATGAGTCTAAAAATTATTTTTCCTTGGATCGGTAAAAGAATAATTACAGGATCTATCGATCTTCATTCCGTAGAAATATAATTAGTGGAACTCAAGATATATTATTTTATTCAAAAAACTGTTATATCGAGTCCCCGGCAACTCTATCTAATAGTGATGGCATATATATGATACTGCAATGTTCACGACACGCAAATTATATTTGAGATCTATAACCTCAAATGAAAATTTGATATTCTACTGCTTGCTTTCGAGCTGAGTGGTGAAGGTCGGGAATAGACCACTATTTCAACCACTACACCACGGAAGGAAAACATTTAGAATTTTAGTTGCAACACAATTTTCACACGCCGTAATTTTATGTGAAATAATATACCCCAGAAATAGTAACAAGTAGAAATTATTTTATATAACTAGTTATTCTTATCTAATTTTAACCAGTTATATAAAATAACTTTGTATACGCAGGTAAACTTTCTAGTTAATTTAGATCGCGCACCAGGTGTTTAAATACAATTGTGAAAGTTTTTCTTTTATTAAAAATAATTGAACTCACCTGTGCATTGAACGCATGCCCAAAGATGTCAGCAAGTTTTCTTGCGTAGTTTTCCGATTTTCCGGTTTCCGTGGCGAATAATACGGTCGCCTTGATTCGCCGCGATAAAGCATGCCCAAACAATTTCGACGTAAATTTAACGGCCCTGGGAATATAAAATTGTATCGAATATTATAAGTAAGTGTGGAATAATACAACATGATAGCATTTGAAGTACAGTTGTAAAATATTGGTTATATGTTGAATTTATTGAACGAAAATTGAAAATCTACGCGACAATCAAACTAGAAAAGTAATAATACAAAAAAAAAACAAGATAAAAAGTTTTGAAATCTAGACTAAATACATAGAGTTAATTTGAAATTAAAACTGGATTTGTTAAGTAGAATTTGAATAAAAAATAGAAATAAAAATAGAAATTACAGAATTGAAATAGCTGAGTTGTAGGAATAAGAAGAAAAAATATTGAAACTGGCTAAGATTAAAAAAGAATGAAGAAATAAAATAGAAGGAGGAGTGGAAGAAGTTGCATAGAATTAGAAATTTGAAATAAAAGAGCAAGAATTGTAGAGAGAGAATGAAGAAATCAAAATTGAAGAAAATTGAAGACAAAAAAATAATTAGGAATTAAAATATAGAATAGGGCGTATAAGATTTATTATAAAAATATAAAAAATAATATAATGTAATTAATTAATTAATGTAATGTAATTAAATGAAATGTTGTAGGTGGCTAAATGCTCAGAGAAAGCGAGATCAAATTAAAAAATTAAAAAAAAAATGGTTACATCATTGATTTCAACAATTGAAAATTGAATATTTAAAATAGGAGAGAAAAATACAAGAGATTTGCAGTGTGATTATATATATACAAATTGTAATACAATTTCGGTATAAAAATTGCATCGAATATTCGAATAAATTTGCAAGAATATGTCATAGTAGCTATTAAGTATTGTACTAAAATAATCATTATTCAACGAATTTATCAGATAAAAACTAAAAATTAATACGCTCAATTAATGAATGTTATAATCAAAATAGCGATTAGAAATAATACCTGAGAAATGTAGTGATACGGAGCAAAATATGCAAACAATGGTAGTTCAAATTTGAAAACGGAGCGTCCGATTTGAATTCAGTAGGGTAGAGCGGGGCTAGTTGAGCATAGGGGCAAGTTGAGCAATCAAAATATCTCGAAAACTATTCACCGTCCGTTTAGGCATTATATGGCGGAAAGATAGAGGTTTGGGAAAAATATTTAAAAAATAACATTTAATCAGGTAAGTGTTATTCTTCCATATAATTATATTACTTTTAATATGCACAGAAATTCTGGGTTTAATTTTCACGTTTTTTTTATAAACTCACTTTTATTTTGAAATTTCGAGTTGGGGTTAGTTGAGCATAGTTGCTAAACTTGTACTGTCACTAAGACGATTACCATTAACTTCCAGAAATTAATTATTATTTTTCAGATTTAAGCTAAGTCTATGGGTGATAATATAAAGAAATAATGATTTTAAACAAATATACTGAATATAATGGTAAAATAATTCCTAAGATATGATATTGTTTTGTTGATTCTACTTTTTGTTAATTATTCAAAGCAAATTACTATAAGTTTTGTTTTCTCTGTCAATAAAGACTATAAATATAGAACTGGTTATTAAAAACTTTATTTCATCACTAATCGACATTGAACCTATGACTTGACTTTTTGCATTTAAACAGCTGTAGCTTTTAAATTTTACTTATTACTAAAAATAGTATTAACACTTTTGTTTAGCGATAAACAACAAATCCATTAAGCAGCTTATTGAGACTTTTCATTGAGAAGCTACATCCGCTTAAGTAAAAATTTGCACAACTAGCCCTGCCCTACCCTATCTGATTAATTTTTTTGAAAAATGATTATTACATTTAGTTATATGCGCATCAAATTATCAGATATTTTACAGAGATTGAAATAATGAGTACAAATTTTAAAAGGTTTACTAAGATTTACAATATTTAATCGTAAAGACTGCATCGCGGGGCTTACGCGCTTCAAGATTCTGTCTCTAAAACAGCTCCGCAGTATGATTGATTTGAAAAAATAATCAACAAAAATCTAAATATAAAAACAAATTAAATTTCTCACAATAGTCAATATTTTTCAAAAATTTCAGTTTTTAACAATCTATTTTTTTCAAGGTTATCAAAGTTTTTTAGAGCTTTTAAAAATTATGAATTACGGTACGGGAAGTTCCAGTAATTTACTTTAAGGCACAATGCCATTCCCAACTTGTTATTATTTTTAAGTGCTATTTTTTATCAGTTTTAATTCTTGCTAGTTTATAGTGCTAAAACTCCAAAGATCTTCGTGTAATAAAACTAATTACATTTATTTATTTCCACATAATTGATTTTATTTCTTGCGACCCAAACTTTTATTGCCACTGATCGAGAGTATCATCTTACAATTAACGCGTGTTTTAGCATGCTAAACAAAACGTAACAAAAAACCAAACATCGTTTGTTATACAACAGATAAACGTAAACAATAATTAATCATGGTAAGGAAACAAAAAATCTTGAACCAAGAAGAAACATTATCAAAAAAGGCAACGTAATGTATTAGAAATCCACATAAAAAAATTACAGCCGGGTGTGCTGGAAAACCACATAAAAAGACTTCATAAAATGTTATTAGCAATAATGAAGGGTAGATCAGTAGAAATAACACGATTCATTCATTCCTACGTGCATATTTACACAGATAGATGGTTGCAGGATTAGCATTGACAAGGATAATAATATACACTGCCAGAATGAAAATAAATAATGAAATAGAGGCTTTACCTCGCAATTTGTTTGAAATGAAATTTTCTACTGGGTCTCGTGCCTCGTCCTTCGCGTCCTTTTTTCCAGACGTGAGTTTTCCAGGCTGCTTCCTGAAAGTAAACAGTTAAGCAATTATTTCAGTAAACCTTTAACTATGCATTTTTAAAAACATATTATAAGAATTTTAATTATATTTTAATACATTCGTGTCATAGCATCACTATTAATTAATTAGTTACTTAGTGTAATTAAATAAATAAATCATATTTAAGTAATTATACTGAGTAGAAAAAATAACAATTTTATTTATATGAGCATATATTTCAACAAAACTTAAGTTTTGTATTTTTTTAAATATACTCAAAAATTTAAATGATTTTTAGCAAGTACATATAATAACTCATTTTAACCATCTATATCATAGTGCATATGGTAAGTTATAAAAAGATTATAAAACAAGAATTATTTTATTATCTTCGAATTACCAAGAGCTTTAGGAACCAATTCTTGGATAAAATAGCTATGTTATGTTACCAGTCTCTTCCCGAAAAATTGCATGAGTTGTCTTTGCTATCAGTTAGAGCGTCTTACATAATATTAACTTCTAAAACCTCACCTCCAAATGGCACAAATATCAGATATAACCAGTGGTGTTGTGCTAATATTTTTTTTGCCGGAACGCTAAAATTTAAAATCCGGTTCATAAACCGGTTCAAAAAATTTGATATATTTCGATAAGAACTCACAAATCTAATATATTGACTTTTTATATAATTAACTCTATTATACACAGCTAGTCTATACATTAAATTGTACAAGTATGAGGGAATCATTGAGTACATAATTTATATTCTTCAATGACATTAATCATATTTATTCTGGTATTATTTGTATTCATTAATACCTACATGTATTTATTATGATATAAACGTACTCAAGATTTATTACAATACTTTATAAGACTTATCTTAGTAATATGATAGATAATCTATTACCTATCATACTATACTATTATATATTATTGTATATCATATATAGATATCTATTATCTATCATACCGTGAGATACCTATACCGTCATTAACTTATACCTACAGACCTTTTACTTCTTACTTTATATATTCACCTATATTACATAGGTTTAACCTTACGCCCTATGTATTATCTCTACCTATCTATTGCCTATACCGGGAATTGAACCCGGGACCTCCGCGTGGAAGTCGCGCACCTTAACCACTACCCTATCGGGTACCCCCACTAATAATATAATATGGGACGCACTGTTGTTTCCGCGGGTCATTTTCTAATTAATTAGGTAATTAATACTAAGGTGGCGCGACGACACGCGAAAAAAGACGGTTGATTGTAGCGTTACGGTGGTGTAGTGGATAAGGTAGTCGCGTGCCACGCGGCGGACCCGGGTTCGAATCTCGGTAGGGTTAATGTAGCGTGTAAGGGAAATTATAGGTAATAGGATATATAGTAGATATAGGTTAGGTGTATTCGGTATACAATGTAGGGATTTGAGAGTATATAATGAAATATACCGGCGTATGGTATAGATGTAAGGCGTGTAGTATAGAATGCAACGTATAGGCACACGTAAGGCTATAAAAATACATGAATAGAAACCTATGATGTAGATGTTAGCGTATAAGAAATGCGAATGAATGTAAGATTTAATTTATAAATATTATTTTTTCTATAAGAAGTTCATACACCTCAATTTGTTACTAAATTAAAAACGACTTTGATAAAACCAGTGGTTTTGTGCTAATATTTTTTTGCCGGAACGCTAAAATTTAAAAACCGGTTCTAAAACCGATTTTCATGTTTTTCCAGTTCCGTTCAAAAAGGAAAGAAACAAAAATTATTACAAAACCCATTTCGTGCACATATATGTATGTTTATTACAATAATAACATTTAATAAAAATTAGTTGAATAATAACGTATAAAATTTACTTATTAAATCATTTTCTGTATGTAGCGATGTTTTTATATTTTTCTTGCCGGAACGCGTTCCGGCTCAAAAATGATTTGCCGGAACGACGTTCCGGCGCGTTCCGGCTCGACAACACCACTGGATATAACATTAGCTTGACTTCACATATATGTTATCATAAATGCAACATTCTGTTGTCTTATATTTTATTATTTATTATCCTAAAATTTTAAGTTTGTGCCATTTGAAGGTTAGGTGTTAAAAGTTAATGTTGTCTAAAACTTTCGATCGAATAGCAAAGACATAGCTTTTTGAGAGTTTGTGACTACCACGTCATGTAATAATATAACATAGCTGTTTTATACAAGAATTGGCCTCTTATTATTTATTGATAAGATCAGTATGCCATGGCTGATTGATGAATTTCGGGTTCCCTTTCATACTCTAATTATCGGTAATTTTTATGCTTGCGCATTATCAATTTTGCAAGTAGTTTGTGCCAGAGTCACACTTGATAAATTTTTATTTATTTCAGTAATACTTGAGTTATGCATTTCTAAAAAATTTAATCATTTTTATCCAGTATATTCTAAAATATAGTATAGTTATCGGTATATTAGCCTAACCAATATTTATCTATTTATGGAAGTAATTAAATTAGTTAACAAAATATTACTACATGGGCAGATATGTGTTAAATTAATAAACTTTTTCTAAAATATGAATTTTAATTAGTTCTAACAAGTATATTTTGACAATATAGCAATCTCTTTTATATGATAATTTTTGTAAAATTTACTTAAACTTTTATAATAATAATAAAATATTCTATAATATATAAAAATTTTATCCGATTGGTGATGGTCATTCTGTCAAAATCAGTGCATTCGCCCTTAAAAATTAGGTGAAGTTTATGATATGTAAGTGCATAATTACTTATTGCCACTTTTTGATAATTATTTTCTGGACCAATTTACAAGTCAATCATGTGAAATAAAGTATTTACATTTTTGATAAATTATATATGAAACCATGCACTTAAATTTATTACCATCGTACCAATTCTCGTATAATGGTTCAACAACTTTTATCATTTTTTAATAATAAACCATTCAAAAATTTGAACTTCTGCTATTACAGCATAGTACTTAAATTTTTTAAATTCCTTACTTGATATTCATAAGAAGGGCTCAAGAAATACAGGGCCATTTCCTGATGAAATACTGGTGTCACAGATCCAGACATCGGTGGAACAATCCATACCCAATCTGCTGGACAACCCGATCTAAAAATAAATAAATTTTTACTAGAACTTAAAATTCCACCCAATATTGAATATTGATTAATTATTTCAATTATAAAATTGATAAAACGTATTTTAATATTTTTGCTAATAATATTGCATTTTTTGATAATTTGCAATGGATATTTTAAAATTTCAATGCAGTTAGTGTTGGGTTATTACTGACCTTAGACGTTGTTCATTTTCGCAATGTTTCATAAAACTATCTGATGCAGTATGATGGTCTACAATTGTTACACCACTTTGTTGAAAACTGTGTAAAACTGCAGCATTCATTTCGACCAAAGCTCGGTCCTTCCACAATGTGGTCGGCGTACTTGTATCTAAGCCCATACGTAAGGCTAAAGGCTAAAAAATAAAATATAATATGATATTTTTCTCACAAAACAATATGATGAAATACGCATTGACAGATGCAGATTATTACAGTTATCATTCGATAATTAGTTTAGCAGGTCAATCGTTTCTATAATCATATTTTTCGAATCTGATCACATCTTCCTGATCAAGTTGGTTTTTGAAACCCATCACTCAGGATAACATCATTATTGCATATGATAATTTTTAACTTCCCGCAGGGTAAGTTATAGTAATCGCAATCGAAAATTAAAATTTTTATATATCTTTACGCTTCAAAGGTTTTTGAACATTTTGGCATACCTTAGAAAAAATGTATGTATGTGTGTGTGTTTGTGTGGGTGTATGTGCGGATACAAATTTTTGTCGACAATTTTGGGAACACCGTTCAACCAATTTGAATAATTAAAAAAACATTCGATTCGCATTGATAAGGACACGTGCTAATTAGTTTTTGGCGAAGGCAGCTCTAGCCATTCCAAATATACGGAGCAAAAATGCCAAAAACGGTAACTCAGTTTTTAGGAGAACGATGCGTCAGATTCAAAAAAGATTTGCTTGTATTGACAAGATGAAGAACTGATTAAATTTTTGGGAAGGCAGGTCCAGCGGTTATGGACTCTCTATAAAAATATGTTAAAAATGTTATTTGGCGGTCAAAAATGTTTATTGGACATATGCACATCAAATTATCAGATATTTTAAAGAGATTTTAATAATCTGTATACATTTTGTGTAATTTTTTTTGGGTTTCGTCCCAAGATTTTTGATTACGGTACGGAAAGTTTCAGCAATTTGCTTTAAGGAACGATGCCATGCACCCTACTAGTTAAATTTACAAAACTGATATTCTAAAAAATGTTAGTTTTAAGAAAATGATACTCTGAGTGCTCTAATATTTACAGTGCTACTTTTGACCGTGCCTCCGTACATATATTTTTTTTCTTATATTCATCCTTTTTAAATTCTTAAACTAGTCTAATAAATATTTAAGATTTTAGTGAAAACATTCTACTCATTCTAATTTTGTTTTAATAATTTTTGAAAATGATAATTATAATTATTGCTTATTTAGTATTTTATATAGCTAATTTATTCATAAAAAATTATTAACGCAGTATGATTCTTAGAATAATTGTCTGGTATATAAAGTCTATTTAAATAGCTAAATACGAAAAACCAGGTAAAAACTGATTTTAATTATTTACTATAAATTACATGACGCACAAGTATAATTATAATCAGTGGTAAATTCTAACTTTATATGATCAATTTATTTTAGTAATATATCAGTATCCTTTGCTACAATATTTTTTGTTATTTGATATTAAACTCTTCGAGATCGGCATGGTTCACATATAAATTCACTAAAATTCGACATATTTTACATGCCTATTTTATTTACTTTTTTATATGGTGGTTGTAGATAATTTAATTTATTGGCAACTAATTTCTTTTTAATTGGAATTGACTTAAAATTTCTTGCAATACTATTTTAATAAGTAGTTTTTCTACAAGTAATAAAACGACTTACTGAAATTTACTTTAACCATGACTCTTGTCTAATATTGCCTCTGCTAAAGTAGAATACATTCTTACATTAAATTATAAAAACTTAATAATATAATTAATAAGTACTTATTTTGCATTTGTTTTATTATTAACTGTTAATATTCTCCAGAAATTTAATTAAAATAATAATGTATTGATAACTACGTTCATATTTTAGTAATGCTGCATTTGGTTGAAGATATTGCTATGACATGTTACACAAAACGATATTTAATATATTTTTCATATATTATTATTAATCATTTTGTAATGGTTTACTTTATTATACTTAAGGGTCATTTTCTATCACTTGTAATCAATATTTCGTTAACTTTGATTCAAAATTATTTACAAAATATAAGACAAAATCAAATATTGTTGGTCCACAATTATATTAACGTAACTGAATTTATGTAGACTGAAATTCATGTAGCTTATGAAATGCATTATATTCATATTTAACCATTTATTTATTTTTATATTTATTATATTTATTATTATAATACAATATATTATTTTGTAAAATAGCGAAATATTTTATACCAAAAGTAAGCATCTAATATAATTCATAACAAAATTGTTATATAATATGATATAAAAATGTCAACACGTAGGAAATTATCAGGAAATGTATTCATGCACATAAAAATATGCAAATAGTTATTCACAACGTAAAATTATTTCCAAACAAAGTTTGAACTTCACGCGTGAGTTTCACACGGCTGCTGAGCAACAGTTATTATTTAACTTTTATTAAAGGGAGGGCATACATGAATACAAACTAGAATTACAGCTACGGCGAAAAGGTATATATGTAGTAAATATATTTTACTTGATATTTATTCCATTTTATTTTTAGACAAGAAAAAACTACTTATACCATACAATGAATTACAAAATACACCGACTTCAGGAATTAATGAGTTCATTTTTACCAGAATTTTTATAATAAATAATTTAACATTCAACAATTATAATAATATTATTATTATATTATTATCTTATTATTATTATCTTATTATTTCTAATATTGTTATATAGTTATATTTATTATTATTTGTCACTTATTGTTTTTCTAGTATTATTTTTATTATTCACTTATTTTATTTATTTCATTAATTAATTTTATTATTATTATTATTTGCTTTTATTTTATATTAAATCATATTAATACGGATATAATTTTAATGAAAATACAATCCTTTATTTTGTACTCTATTTTATTTATATTTATGTTATCGTTCATTAATGTTACTAGATGTTATACTATTTAGCAGTTGTAACATATATTGTGATAGAAAAAAATTTCAAGAATGTTACATTGATGAGAATGTTTAAATTTGTTATTAATGATGTAAGATGTAAATTGGAAGAATTCCTTAAGGCAAATTTCAAAAACTTTCCGATAAGTGTAATAATTGACTTAATCAACCGAAATTGAGTTCAGATATTTAGAAAATATTTTCATTTATTTCAAAAATCAAGTTTTTGCTTTCAAATAAATCTAATCATTCTAATTTGAATCGTTTAAATTATCTGTGATTATATTAATTATAGTGCACAGACACGTGTGTTTGTATATCCTAAAATTGTAGCTTATTGTTCCAAAATTGAATAATATAATTCAACCAATTTTCGTAGGACTGCTTAGTTGTATGTAGTTTAGTTTTTTTATGAACAACGTCAAAATATTTTTTTTAGTTCTAGACATTAATTAATGATTTAAATAAATGGTAACATTTTTTACAAAATTAGAGAAGTTTTGTAGACTGTTCATTTACTTTTTTGCTAATTCCAAAACCATTTCTAATTGACTTGATTAACTTATCACATTACAAAAGCAAACTTTAACACAAACATATTTTTTCAAACTTTGATGAATTTTTAAAATTAAATCGTTTGTTGTAGAGCCGTAATATTTTAGTATATTTTATAAAGCCATGATATATATCGTCAAAAAGTTTCATAATAATCGGCATTTTTTTTCCGAAAAAGGATTTTACATATCATACCTAGGATATTTTCTGCCTAGTATATATAAAATGATTATGCATTTTGGCTCATAAAATTGTTTTTTGATTTTAAATTCCGACTTAAATTTGTAATGTTTTGTTTGTGTGCTGTTTTTTTTACATATTTAGTGTTTAAACGTACAGAATTAATATTTTTTGAATATATTTTTTCTATTTTCCATTATACTTATAAAATGAGTAAAGAAATAAACAATATTATGAGTTATACTATAAATATAATATGTGCTACTACATGACTATTTGGTATATTACCAAAAACACGTATTATATTCGATCCGAACAATCATATTGCATTGCATGAACATATATATATATACATATATATATATATATATATATATATATATATATATATATATATAATCAGCAAATCAATTTAGGGAAGGAACGCGTACCGGCAAGAAAAAATATAAAAAAATCGCTACATACAGAAAATGATTTAATAAGTAAATTTTATAAATTATTATTCAACTAATTTTTATTAAATGTTCTTATTATTGTAATAAACATACATATATGTGCACACAATGGGTTTTGTAATAATTTTTGTTTTTTTCCTTGTCGAATGGAACCGGAAAAAACATGAGAACCGGTTTTTGAACCGGTTTATGAACCAGTTTTTAAATTTTAGCGTTCCGACAAAAAATATTAGCACAGCACCACTGGTTTTATCAAAGTCGTTTTTAATTCAGTTACAAATTGAAGTGTATGAACTGAAATATTAATTACAATACAGTAGTGTATTTCAAATTTCACATATGTTACTTTAAGACCGAAAAGTGTCTGATGCCCGATTATTTCAGATATAAGTTGGACTTGTTTCGGACATAGCGGGCGTTAATCGAGTAAAATAAATAATTTAAGACATTCATATAATGGAAATTGATTGTAGCAAAAAAGCAATTCTATAAATACAAAAGCATAAGAACTGCAAAAAAATGTAATATTTTAATAATTGGATGAATTTTTTGCCATCTAAGGCAAAAATATAAGCCGTTCGATCGCTTGTAAATTTTTACAATCCAACATTTATTGGTAATTAATCATTGTTTTATTGACATTTATTTATTGGTAAATTAGTTGACAATTTATAGCAAAATAGTTACCCTGATATTTCAATAGACTTATTGTCTAAATTTCGGCCTACAATTTGAGATTTGTATGCATATTCATAGAAACTTTGATCTTTTAAAAATCTGATGAAGGTGCTGTGGAATTGATGATCACTCAATTATTGATTAACCTGGTAGTAGATTAAAAAATTGTACTCCTAGACTAGTGATTCCCAACGTGGGGCGCACGCCCCGAAGAGAAATCCATTTGCTTTGGGTGATTTGAATGTAATTTGCAAATACTGTTAAAAATTCGTTAAATATTTTATGATCATTGTTTAGTTTAAGTGAGCAC